GGACGGATTCGTACGTTAAGTGCTGCTACCTGGGGCGCGGAGGGGTCCTTTCGTGATTATTGATAGCAGGAGTAGTAGGCGTGCGACCAGGCTTCCTTTCAATATGGAGACGTACCATCACAAAATAGATTAAAGGAAACTAACGTGAATTTATGGAATGTATTATTGTAATGTACACAGACCCACTGTTTTGCAGGACAGGTAGTGTGTGTATGGATTATGCTAATATACCACTATGGATCTTTGCTCCCTCTGAAAAAATCCTGGGGGCACCAGTGGAACTTAATGGGATTTATTGGCAATGGGTTGAATAGCAGCAACAACAACAACAAACACCCAACTTTGAGGATTATGAGATTTACTAATATAATAACATAGTGAAACATGTTCACAACCCATTTTTCTACTCTTCAGACCACTTTCAGATAGGTCTAATTTTCAGACTCTGGTTGCATTGAATTACTTTCCCTTGCTCAGTTTTAGTTTCTTTATTATAAAAGATTTATTGTTGAAGATACACTACCATAGGCCTACAACTTCATAGGACACTAGCTAAAAGTTCTCTTCCACGGTATTATGTAAAGGCAGGGTAAGAGTCAGAGTCAAAGATTCACCCATCAACAGGCCTCAACAATGCTTAGCATAGGTCAATTAAATTCTTCAACATTTGAAACATTTTGCAGAAATTTTGTTATTATTATATTTTTATACCACACCGTCTAGTGCCATTGTCACTACTCTGAGCCGTTTCCAATAGTGAAGTAAACATAAAAGAGCACAACCACATTCCACCCAATTCATTAATATAAACATAGAATATATAAGGAGAACTACACAGCTAGAGAAGCTAGAAACTTTGGGTTTTTAGTTTCTCTTATTTTATATGCAGTAGGCATTCTCCTACATGAGGAGACCCTTCCAGGCCCGGCTGATGCAAATGCACCTGAATGTAGCAGCATACAAAGCCTGTCCTAGTGAGTACAACTTGCAGGCCCTTCAAACTGCTTGTAGCAAAGTCCAACAGGCTGCCAGGAGATGTTCCAATGATTATTGGCTTCAGCTCTGCTCTCAGATTCAGATGGCAGCAGACACAGGTAACATCAAAGGAATGTATGACGGTATCAAGCAGGCTTTAGGTCCAATATAGAAAAAATCTGCTCCCTTGAAGTCTGCTACAGGCATGATCATCCAGGACCGAGCACAGCAGATGGAACGCTGGGTGCAGCACTATGAGCTATATTCCAAAGAGAATGTAGTAACCGAAGAAGCATTAAATAACCTTGAGTGCCTGCCTGTTTTGGAAGATTTGGACAGCGAACCAACCTTAGCAGAAATAAAAATGCCCTTGGATTCCCTCACCTCCGGCAAGGCACCTGGAAAGGATAACATCCCTGTTGAAGTGCTGTGAAGAGATCATTACCACCGAACTGTATGAAGTCTTTCGTCTTTGCTGGAGGGAAGGTGGAGTACCACAGGGCATGAAGGATGCAAACATCATCACATTGTACAAGAACAAAAGAGACGGGATTGATAGGGGGACAAGATGGAGTCACAATATAACAAACATATAAACCAGCACAACTGTATACTGATCACAGCTGTATCTCTTTATGCTGTACTTCAATACTTTCTAATGGAATACATCCTGCATATTCTACCTAAACTGTATCAATATACTTATGTATACAGTACTTGTGCCTATTCTTTATTATGTAAGCTTTATTATGTATCTATGCATTTTCTTTACCTGTATCGTATCGAATCTCTGTATCAAACCTCTCTCTCTAGATACTCCTGACCTCTGTAACAGTCGAACAAGTTCCCACACTGCATTCCTACATATCAAAGGATACTAGCAGCAATGACCTTTCACACCCTAGAAACAGGAAGATCTCTCACCACAAGGAGATAGCAGTTTGCTTTAATTTATGTAAACAATGTATCACTTCCTCCTTCAAGGAACACGGCAATTTAGAAGACAAACGGCACAGATGGCCCATCGGAATCTGGACGGGAAAACAAATCATTTACATTTTGATACCAATGGGAGAAACATTATTTTCTGAAGGCCATATACTGAGGCCCACGCTTTGTAACATAAACATATCAATAAGATAAGGAAGACCAAGGAACAAATCCTTCAGACATGCTGGCACATTTGGGGTGTAACATAACCCTAGGTCAAGGGAACACGGGGGGGGGGCCCAGTATGGATATTCAGGTATAGCCAATAAGCTAGGCCTACAGAACATCTTTGACCCAATGAGAAGGAGGGTCCAAGTCTGAGGTCCAAGGAACCAATAAGAATTTTCCAATTTATGGCTCTTTGTGTAGAAACCTTATAAAATATCTATGCACCCCTCTTTCAAGGCCTTTTCTCTGCCTTTAAGATAAAAGGTCCAGCTGTACTTTTCTAAATAAAATTGGCTTTGTATCAGCTACTACTGCATCTTAGTCTGCGTTTCTGCAGGGGTACCGAACAATAATTTCGGGGCTAACAGGGTGACTGCAATAACTACTGTGGCATCTCTCTTCTTAGCATTGTAGGGAAGCTGCTCACCCGTGTTGTGCTGAAGAGGCTCCAGCTGCTTGCAGACAGAGTCTATCCAGACTCACAGTGTGGATTTTGAGCTAATAGATCCACCACTGACATGGTATTCTCCCTCAGACAGTTGCAGGAGAAATGCAGGGATCAACAACAACCACTCTTGGTAGATCTCACAAAGGCCTTTGATTTGGTTAGCAGGGATGGCCTTTTTAAAATACTTCCCAAGATTCGATGTCCACCTCAACTCCTTAACATCATCAGGTCCTTCCATGAGGGAATGAAAGGCACTGTAGTTTTTGATGGCTCAACATCAGATTCCTTTGACATCCGAAGCGAAGTGAAACAGGGCTGTGTCCTCGCACTGTCCCTGTTTGGGATCTTTTTTGCTGCTATACTGAGGCATGCCTTTGGAACTGCAACAGAAGGTGTCTATCTCCGGACTAGATCAGATGGAAAGCTCTTTAATCTCTCTAGATTGAGAGCGAAGAACAAAGTCCAACTGAAATGCATGCCAGACTTCCTCTTTGCCGATAATGCAGCCATTGTTGCCCACTCTGCTGAAGACCTCCAGCAACACATGAATTGTTTTAGCAAGGCCTGCCAAGACGTTGGACTAACAATCAGCCTGAAGAAAACACAAGTCATGGGCCAGGGCGTGGACTCACCTCCCTCTATTACCATCGCCATGCAAGAATTGGAGGTTGTTCATGACTTTGTGTACCTTGGCCCAATGATCTCTAACATTCTGTCCCTAAATGTTGAGCTGGATAAACGCATTGGGAAAGCAGCTACCATGTTCTCTAGACTCACAAAGAGAGTATGGTTTAAGAAGAAGCTGATGGCATATACAAGATCCAGGTCTATAGAGCCTGTCTCCTGAGCACACTCCTGTACTGCATTGAGTCCTGGACCCTTTATGCATGGTAGGAGAGGAAGCTGAACATGTTCCATATGTGTTGTCTCTGACGCATTTTTTGTATCACCTGGCAGGACAAAATTCCAAATAGAGTAGTCCTAGAACGAGCTGGAATTTTTAGCATGTATACGTTACTGAAACAGCGACATCTACATTGCCTTGGACGTGTCGTGAGAATGGCTGATGGTCGGATTCCAAAAGATCTCCTGTATGGAGAATTAGTGCAGGGAAATCGCCCCGGATAACATCCCTGTTGAAGTGCTGTGAAGAGATCATTACCACCGAACTGTATGAAGTCTTTCGTCTTTGCTGGAGGGAAGGTGGAGTACCACAGGGCATGAAGGATGCAAACATCATCACATTGTACAAGAACAAAAGAGACGGGATTGATAGGGGGACAAGATGGAGTCACAATATAACAAACATATAAACCAGCACAACTGTATACTGATCACAGCTGTATCTCTTTCTCTATACTGTACTTCAATATTTTCTAATGGAATACATCCTGCATATTCTACCTAAACTGTATCAATATACTTATGTATACAGTACTTGTGCCTATTCTTTATTATGTAAGCTTTATTATGTATCTATGCATTTTATTTACCTGTATCGAATCTCTGTATCAAACCTCTCTCTCTGGATACTCTTGACCTCTGTAACAGTCGAACAAGTTCCCACACTGCATTCCTGCATATCAAAGGATACTAGCTGCAATGACCTTTCAGACCCTAGAAGCAGGAAGATCTCTCACCACAAGGAGATAGCAGTTTCATGTATTCGCAAAGGCTTTCACGGCCGGGATCTAATGGTTGTTGTGGGTTTTTCGGGATTCTTGGCCGTGTTCTGAAAGTGGTTCTTCCTAATGTTTCACCAGTCTCTGTGGCTGGCATCTTCAGAGGACAGCAAACTGTGCTCTCACGTGAGGCTGGTATCTTTTCAGAATCATGACATATTACTAGTGCGATTCAGGCAGGGTTGACTGACAACTTGCAGTACCGTATCTCTGCAGTCTTCCTCTCTTTGTCATTCACCCAACCCATGGATTCTTCCGTACTGATATTATGAGAATGTTACCATTCAAAAGCAAGTCTGGTCTTGAGGCTTTCAAGTGATGAACAAGCATATGTAAGCTCACTGTTTTTTTTCTCCTTCAAGGAAGTTCCATATTGTCTCATGCAGAATAAGCTTTTCATTTTGGTACTAATCCACAACTAAAACAAGCAAATCTACACTGATTTAAGTAGAATATATTAGATTAATATTATGTTAGAGAGTATAAGACAAAATGAAATGAATGGAACATATTGTAATAAATCACTCTGGTTGCAACGGATAGAAACGTAGAAAAAATTCAATAAAATATTTATTAAAAAATAAAACAAACAAATCTAGCAGAGAAGATCATTTCTGAAGTGCTTCTGTCACACACACCCAGCTCCTCTGTACGTTCTCCCTAACAAAACATATTTGCCTTTGGGTATGACAATTTCTCTTGTCTCCACTTCCACTGCCACCAGAGCAAATCCTTCCCCAATTACCAATTAGGATCACAGAATCAATCCTGTCAAATATAATATTGTTTATTACTAGGTTAACATATTTAAGAATCAAGGAAATCATAAATGGAATTGTATTTGGTGTTCATTAAACTTAATTTAACTTAGAAATATGCTGGTTACTTTGTATTTAGTTTCAATCACTTTATAACAGTTGCATTCAGTTCTCTTATACATTTCTTTCCAAGTGTTTCTTTCCAAAACAAATTCTTCCAACTACCTAACTCTTTCCCTAACTCCTGACTAACTGTCCTATATCATGACTAACCGAAGCCCCTAACACCTGGCTAACTGAAATCCTAACGCTAACTGAAACTCTAACTGTCCTCCATTCTCTTCTTATATTCCCCGGTTCTGCCCTCCTGCATAACTATTGGCTACTGAATTAGTATTCCATTGTGATGGACAGGTGTGGTTTCTGGCCTGTCAGTCACAGCTTCTTAAGCTTTTTGAAATGTTTTTGAACAATTTCTTGAAGAGGTTCTGATTTTAAAAAAAATTAAAAAGAAGCAGGGTTTCAAAAACAAGTTTAGACTGAAATTGTGGTAAGCTCATTCAGCACCAAGTGGCTCAAAAAGGGGAGTGGTACAAGATCTTATTGACAGGATCTAGTTATGAATATGGAGTTTACATTGTTTTATGGCTTATAAATCAATGTCCTTCCTTAACAGCTAGCTACAAAAGCACTTTTCAAGTAAACTGGGTTAGAGACCTTATATGTTAAGAGATGAAAGCTAGATCAATCTTTGTACTAAACAAGCAGGGCATTTTCTTTATTGCAGACAGTACTCTGGGCATTTTCTCTCTCTTATAATGGGGAGATTTATGTGAGCCATTTTCTCAGTTAATCCTATTAGCCCAGTGGGTTAATTTAATAGTATTTGCTGTGTTCAAGAAGCTCATGGAAACACTCAAGCTTAACCAATGGTGGTTTTACATCATTCTAATAAGGAGTGTACCATGTACCTCAACAACTCATTTTTTTATTTTGTTATCATTTTCTTTTATTTTTATTTGTCAAGATATTCATTAGCCACATTGTTTAGTCATACAAATGTCACAGAATCATAGAATAATAGAGTTAGAAGGAGCCTATGAGGCTATCGACTCCAACCGTCTGAGAAATGATCATTCTCAACAACATTTGTTCCATTCATTTACTTTCTTCTTAGTTACATACCTGCCAAGGAGTTAAATCCAGTTTTCCTTTTCCCCATTTTTTCTTTACAACAATCCTTTGAGGTAGATTAGGCTGAGAGACCTCCCACTAAATTTCATGGCTCAGTGAGGACATGAACCTGGATTTCCCAGGACCAAACCGTGCAGCACCTACAAGCATTGACCTTATATAGCTAGAGACTTTTTATGTCTTCTGTTCTGTAAAGTGCTTGAACATGGTTTAGAAAAAAATATTGAAGTCTGAGCATGACAATTAAAAAAAGCATCATCACATTTTAACTAGTCCATGCCACAAGCATAAGATGGAGCAAAAAATTACAACTGCATGAAATTAATCATAATCATGCTTTTGGATGGAAATGACTCTTTATTTGGTAAGATCAGCACTGATTGCAGTACTGGAATAAATTGGGAAAGGTTGTTATATAACTGAAACACATTCCCAAGTTATCTAGAAATCATCACCTAACAGTTACCTCCCATTGATGTGACATAGAGTCATGGAATCACAGAATAATTGACTTGGAAGGGGGCTATATGGCCATTGAGTCCAATCCCCTGCTCAATGCAGGAATCCAAATCAATGCAGATCTGACAGATGGTTGTCCGATTTTCTCTTGAATGCCTCCAGCATTGGAGCCCTCCCCCCCCCCCCCCAGGTAATTGATTCCATTGTTGTACTGCTCTAACAGTTAAGAAATTCTTCCTGATATTCAACCAAAATCTGGCTTTCTGTAGCTTGAGCCCATTATTACATGTCCTGTGCTCTAGGATGATCAAGAGCAGATGTATGTATGACTACCTTTCAAATATTTGAAAAGTACTATCATATCTCCCCTCAGTCTTCTTTTCTCAAAGTAAACATGCCCAGTTCTTTCAGTCTTTCCTCATAGGACTTGTTTTCCAGTCCCTTGATCATCCTTGTTGTCTTGCTCCAATTTGTTGTTATCCTTTTTGTATCTGTATACTCGTTAGCTTTAAAAACGGTCTTTTAACGATGCAAGTCGCCTTGGGTCCTTTTTAGGTGTAGTAATAAAAGATAGTATAAATGAACAAGCAAACAAACTTGCTACTCAGCATTCTTCCAACTTTATATGAACTATACAGAAGCATAGTGCAATGGTCCAGAAATGTTCTTCTTGGTTATTTTTTAGTTAAGCCAATTTAGGGACATCATGATGTATTTGCAGATGGACATTTAGAAAATAAATTACTTCACGTGGCAACAACTACCCTATTTCCCTGAAAATAAGACGTAACCTGAAAATAAGCCCTAGTATGATTTTTCAGGATGCTTGTAATATAAGCCCTACCCCAAAAATAAGTCCTAGTTAAGTGAAACCCCATCCTCCACCATTGTGAAGCAACCAGAAGAAGATGACATGACTGTATTTGAATACATGTAGTTTGTTGTACATGGAAAAAATAAAACATCCCCTGAAAATAAGCTGTAATGTGTTTTTGGAGCAAAAATTAATATAAGACCTTGTCTTATTTTGGGGGAAACACGGTACAACATAATGTCTTGATTTGTTAATGCAATTATCTTCCTTTAAAGTGCTGACAACAAGGTTTGGCTCAAGCTCTAAGAATTCTTACTTGGGGTAGAACTACATATATGCGACTATGTGATTTATTTTGGGGGCATTTTACTGTTAAATAGAACAGCTGATGGGAATGCAGTTTAAGGTAGAGAACAAGCAGAGAGTGCTGATGGTTTCTTAATACTGTTTTCCTCTTTTAAAAGTCTCCACAATTTCCTTACATTGCAAGAAGAAAGATGTTAGCACCTTTATCTTTTCCCCAATAGAGGTAAAAACAGCTGGAAGGGCAATTTTCAGCAGAAATATATCAAAAGGAATTGCATTGTGTAAACTCCTAACCACACCTGTAACATTGAAGGCAAACTTCAGTTCAGTCTTTTTCTTGTTGTTAATAAACTTGAAATTAAGATTGTTAGCTGATTGAAAAGAAAATGGATTTGATCCAAATTTAGGATATATGCAATTGATCTGGTGAAATGGGATCTCCCTACCCTTCTCCCGGATCCCTGCAAATGCTACACAGATTGTGAAGGTATGCTGCTGAATGAGACGTGCGGTGTTGATTGGTAGGGGAAGGAGGATCACAAAAAAGCAAGGGGAAGCAAAAGATCTATCTGCAAAGCCTAGATCAGACCCAGTTACTGATGCTGGTGTCAGGAATGTATCTCTTTGTGTGTGTGTGTGTTCACAAATATACACGTGCATTTGGATGCATTTGGTTTTTCACTCTTTTCTTTTGGCTCAGTTGCTAGACCATAGGTAGTGTTGTTTTCTGCCATCTTGTCACACCTTCAAGATTAATATACAGTACTGTATGTGGTCAAACTCCTGGAAGCTGATCCATCACAAATGGTTGGATTCCTGTGCTCTACTTCCATCCTCAGTTCTACTCTGTTCATCTTCATTCCCGATCCAATTGCCCAAAATTTGATTTTAACATGTGGCAGCCCTCCTTGGGAAGGGTATTAAGAGACAGCATTTAAAACAGAACTTAGAAAAGTTGGTTTTTAATGACAGCTCCCAGAATCCTTCAGTCAGCATGGCAGTCTGCTTAAAATATCATCATCAAGGCAGCCAGGCTACATAAATATAATTAATAAAACCTAAACTCTTTCGTATCATCAGTTCACCACCCCAAAATAGTAATAATATCTACTATGAGCTATTTATTATGCAGTATAATATGCTATCTAACACATTGTACTTGGTGTATTAGATACAACATAGATGAGAGGCTGGCCTCATCTTTGCTGCCCTTCTGCAAGCAGTCAAAGATAAAGGTTTGTCTTTAGGCAGGCTTTCCTTTAGTGGCTTAGACTAATCGTCTAAGAACGATTTTAAAACTTGATGATTTGTATTTTAAAAAAATATTTTTAATAATAATAATTTATATAACATTTATTTAGTCCATTTAAAATATTTTTATAACGAACTGTTTTAGCTTTTACATATTGCCTTTTTCAATGACGTGAGCTACCTTGGGTCCTTTTTTTATGAGAACGGCGAGGTAAAACATTTTAAATAAATAAATATCCTTGCTGGCTTATTAGATCAGCATCCTGTTTACCACAGAAGCCAGTCAGATGCATTTGAGGACCCCCACACACACACCGATTTCTTCCTCTCCCCCCTCCGCCGCCGCTGTCTTTTTGTTTGCAAGAACTGACATCTGAAGAATTGCTTCTCTGCTCTGACAGTCGTATGTGAAAAGAACAAGACGTCACCCACCAACGTTAGCAGCACTTAAAAAAATTACGTTAAGTTTTGCTTTCTCCTGCTTTAAGCTGTTAGACGGCGTATGGTTGTGGAACTACATTTCCCAGAGGGCCTTGGGGGGGGGGACAAAGGATTACGGGCAATGTGGTTTTAACGAAGGGCGACAGAGCAGAAAATCCGTCTTGCTGGTTTTGGGTGGTGTTTTGACTGCATGCTACCGCTGCTGGAAACGGTGTCTTTGAAAGCAGTAAGTCAAAGGAGAACATTTATTAGTCTTCCCTGACTATTTTTAAAAACCCCGGAGAGAATTTAAACGGCTCGCGTGAGTATGGGACGCTGTACTTCGAAGTCGTAAAGATAGGATTTTAATGCCTTGTTATGATCAGCTAGAATTCATGCAACTACTGGAAAGGTCTTCCCTGGAATTCTGTACACAGTACTGTACTTGAATCGTTTCCCTTAACTTCCGTCTCTCTCTCTCGCTTTAGAAACAGAGCCACAAATTATATCACGGATCAAGTCGAGTGGCATTATTACACGCCTTGTTGCCGAGCTAAAATTCACTGCCTGCCTGTTTCTTCTCTTCCTCTATTATAAAGAGTTTAATGTTTCTCTTTACTCGCCGTAATAAACTGTTTTGTAATAGCGTTGTGCTGCACAGCCATCTGAGGCAGCTGTGTAAAAAAAAAAAACACACAGTGAAAGAAGCCACCATAACAATCCATTAAAAATAAAGGTTATTCTCCACTACTAACCTTAAAAGCTTTGTATTTCACATTTTTGCAGTCTTAGTCATTTAATAGAGTAAATGTCACTGAGCACAATGAGATTTTTTTTTTTCCTGAGTGAAAGTGTCCGTGCTTTGCTCTGTTGAACTCCTAATGGTTTGTTGGTACTTAACAGAATAGCTATACCTACTTTCACCAGCATTTTATTGTTGGCAGTTACTGAGGGAGAAAAACGGAAAGAAAGCTAATGCTTACTAACAGTTTATGTAAAGACCCTTCCAGAGTGAGGGACCAGAAAATGGAGTCCTGTTAAAATAAACTATTGTATTTATTTCTTTAGGAAGTTTGTACAGTATGTTCCCCTTTTGGAGTGTACAGTGAAAGAAAAACCAATGGATAAAAGGAAGCTGTAAAATCTCAAAATGCAGGATGAAAAGAGGCAAATAAGAGAGACAGCATACCAAGAGAGGCTGTTTCTTGAGCCATATTCCAACTGCATAGTTAGAGCAAAGTCCAGTTTCCTTTCTCACATCAGTTGTGAAACTGCATACATGTCAGCCTCTTTCTCTATGGAACAAAACAGCATTTACACATTGAATGAGTATAGCCTTACTGTTTTTCAGCTGTGGCACAGAAGATGGCAATATTTTTGGTGTGTCAAATGGGATATAGAAGAACCTCCTTACAGTTTTGGAGGTTCTATTCATCCTATGTCAGGAGAATGAGGTAAGATCTTGGCTCACTGGGATTAACCTTTTCAATCCAATTTTCTGAAATCTGTTTGCTAGTAGAATAAATCAAGAATTAATCCTATATCACCAGCAACACTTTACTGCTTTAACTGCCTGTTGTAAATTAAGGGCCACCTTGCTTTTAACTGCAATATTTAAGCAATAGTTAAATACTGCTAAAAAAGAAAGTTGGAGAAATATTTTTGATAAAACATTAGTGCACATTAATGCATTATTACTCTCTCATATTACAACCCAGTACCAGAGAGATGTTTTTTAAGAAACCATCTCTAATCATACAAAATACTTTTGGCATAACTATGCTTTTAGAAAGTTTATATCATCAACAGGAGGGAACCTTTTTCAGAAATTAAACACTTTTATAGTTCTGACCCACTGTCCGTAGTGTTCTTGTGTAAGCCCTTTCATGCCATGTAGCTCAATGGTTTAGATATCTGGCTACAGAATCTGAGTTTGGAAGTTCAATTCTCCGTTATGTATCCCTGACAGGGCCTGGTCTCCATGATCCATAAAGTCCCTTCCAGCTTTGCAGTTCTAAGATCATGTGGAAGCTGTGGGCGGGGAGGAGAAGGTTTTTCTTTACAGAAAACTGTTATGATGACATTGCTGATGGCAGAAATTTTCAATAATGCAAGACTTTCTCCTCCCATCCTGTGGCTTCCACACACTGAAAGGCTTACATGGGAGCAGTGGGACAGAAGCATATAATTCACAAAAATTGCTTCCTGCTGATAACGTCACCAGACTTCTGCAGGCATAGTTACACCAACAGGATTTCACCCAAGGTGTCCCATGTTTTTTATGAGGTTGGGAGTTTGATTCTCCAGTGTTCCTCCTTGAGAGGGGCTGGACTTGATGATTTATAGTATCCCTTCCAGCTCTGCAGTTCTAAGATAGCTTATAGATGATTATGTGCATGTCTTGTCCGAAGTAAGCTGAATGCTCAATGTGACTTACTCCCACATAAATATGCTGAAGTATCAGCAGAATAATTCAGAAAAACAAAGCCATTCAAATACCCATTAACATGATCCATTTCTCTTTGAATTATTTGGTCATGCATTTTTGTTGTGCCATTATTTCTGCATGGTCCTAGTTTAGAATTAAACTGAGAATACTTTTGCTATTCTCCTGAATGGTCTAGTTGCCTAGCTGTTCTTATTTTGCTTTTATTATTAAAAAAAGTTGCACGTTACAGAAAACGTTATTATCTACAGCAGTGGTTCTTAACCTTTGTTACTCGGATGCTTTTGAACTGCAACTCCCAGAAACACCAGTCAGGACAGCTGGTGGTGAAGGCTTCTGAGAGTTGCAGTCCAAAACTCCTGAGTAACCCAAGGTTAAGAACCAGTGATCTACAGCAGTGGTCCCCAACCTTGGGCCTCCAGATGTTCTTGGACTACAACTCCAGAAGCCTTCACCACCATTTTTGCTGGCCAGGATTTCTGGGAGTTGAAGTCCAAGAACATCTGGAGGCCCAAGGTTGGGGACCACTGATCTACAGTATATTATTTCCAGACTTTGATTTATTGTGTGATCTTTAGTAGGCAGGCAGATTTGTTCATACCTAGTTTGGAGGGGAGCAGAATGAGTTTAAGGAGTCAGGATTTGAGACTTCATTCCTCTTTAACATTGCTTTCTTTCTTCACATCTTGCCAAAATTAGAGCTTCTAAAATGAAAACTTCTTAAGATTGACACACTATATAATGTATTGCTGAATGCAGTTTCCAGAGGATCTTTATTAGATAAACAAACAGTATCAAGGCCAGGAATAGAGATCCAGTTTGATGTAGCAGTTACGTTGTTGGACTGGAACTGGGGAAATTTAAGTTGAAATCTTAACTGAGCAGTTAAACTCACTTAGATACTTAATTTCTTTCTACCTGACATATCTCACAGGATTGTTGCGAGGATAAAACAGAAGGAAGGAAAACTATTTGTGCAGCTTATTGGAAGAAAAACAGGACATAAATGAGACTGTATTGCAAATATTATAGACTATAATCCTGTAGCCACTTCCTGGAAAGTTAACCTGACTGAACTCACTGGGACTTGCTTCTTAGGAGACACATATCTCTGCTATGTTCCACTGCCATCATTCTTGCACTCATCATGGAGAGCAGGTATATAGGATTGCACTCTTAGGTTTGGCCACTTTGTACTCTTTCTGATCTTTTTCAAACTGCAGATACATGTTTGATCTTAAAGAGGATGATGATGCTTGTCGGCAGGCCTATAATTCAGGCGCTTTCGTTCTGTTTTACAACCTCTCCCCCTTCTTGCAGCAAAAGGAGGAAACGCTCTCACCCCCTAAGATACGTGCTGCAGGTAATTATTTCTTTATTACAGCAGTTTTCCTCCTAGACTAATGAACATTTTGTTTTGTGAGAAAGTTCATATCTGTAGGATGTTAAAGATGGTTTAATTGCTTGCTTTCAAACAAGTGTGTGGGTGGGTGGAGGTGGAATAGTTTTAAGTGGAGAAGAAGGGATGAAGGAAGGAGATTAGAGATCTTTAATAGAAAAATCTTAAAGGGGAAAGTTGGATTGTTCTAACTATAAACACTTGTGGACAAGGTCTTTTTCCCCCAATCCAAACTGTGCCGTCAATGATCCATATATCATCTCTAATGCCAGTGTGGACAGTCCCTTGAAGCTACAATTCCTTCCTACTAATGCCTTGTTAATTGTTGTGAGCTACCAAGTCAGAACTGACTCAACAGTGACTCTAATAGGGATTTCAATAGCAAATGAGACATTTAAAGAGTGATTTTACCTTGTTCTACGAAATTTCCAAGGTTTCCTGAGTTTCTCTGTTGCAGTGTCTATTCTGTCCCATCCTTTAGGAAACTGATTTCAACAGAGTTTAGTGTCTGTGTATTAAGGTGAGATCTATAAATGTGTTCTCTGACTCTCTTATAAACAGCCACATGTATTGTTGTGTCATCATACTTTGCTTAATTTCCTTTCCTTTATCTTTTTTTTTTTTTTTTTTTGGTCTTCAGAAATTAAAAGGTTTCTGGCAAAGTTTTTGCAGGGGGAAGAGAGGATCAAAGATTCTGTGCTGGTTGGCTGTTCAGATGAGTGCACACCATATTTTGCTCTGGATCTAGGTTAGAACTGTTTTTTATGTACTGCATATGCACTTACATGTTAGGCTCTGAGTGGTTTAAAACTGAATCCAAAAGCCTTTATTCAGAAATAAATTCAGCTGGGACTTATTCTTCAATAAGTATGTATAATGATGCAGTCTTGACGTTTACAAGGCTTTGTATTCAACAAATTTTGTAGGTCATGAGAAAGGTATTAAGAATGGCTTTACTATATAAAAAAAGAATGGCTTTATTATGTTCTTACTAGTCCTTGGCTGCTGGTTTTATGATTATTTAATTAGCTTCATTTTATCGTTTTTATTACTGGAATTTACTTGTTTTATTATCCTTATTGGCTGTGAATTCTGTTCTCCTTTGAGAGTTCAGCCGAACTGATTTGTTGACATACAACTCTTTAAATAATATGAACTTTCAGTTTTATACAGTATTTTGTAAAGCAATCATTCAGTCTTTCTCCAAATCGGTTTCAGACGCTGGTGAAAGGAATAGCTTCTTCTCTTTGTGTTTTTAAGGTTCTGTTTGGCTATTTTGACTAGTAGTCATTCTGTCTTATCTTTCTTGATTTTTTGATTATCTAATTGGATTCAGATTTTTGTGTACCTCTTTAAAGCTATTTTAAAAGCAATATACACATCCTGTTGCAGTAAATTTTATGAGTTAATTACACGGCTAGAATCCTGTTGTGTAACTTTGCATCATGCAACTCAGATGATCTCATCAGCTATGCCCATTCTGAGGGAATTAAATGCTTCCTCTTCCCTCTCCCAGGTTTCAGGGTCCTTAAGGACCCCTTTTGTCCTTGGTGTGCTTTGGGAGCTGGAAAATGGAGAGGCGGAATTCTTTAATGTCTGAATATTGCTCCTGCCAGGCCCATTATGCAACAAAAGAGATCTCCAGAACCTGGGGGGAGGTGACAATAGAAAATGTTTAATTCCTCCAAAACAACCACAGTTGATGACATCATTTGAGTTGAATTATGTAAAGTTGCAGAATAGGATTCTGGCTATTGTGTAAACACTGCATTTTCTGGTGTCTGACCTGAACCTGCTATTGGTCAATTCCAAGGTCTAGTATTTTGGAAGAAAGATAAGAAGTTCTAGCAACAATAAGTACACTGTTAATAATTTGGTAGCTTTCTATCATGTCAGTCCTTAGCCTTTATTTGTTCATAACTAAGAAGTTCCAAATTCTTCAGCCTTTCCTTATAAGCTCTTTTAGCCTCTTCCCTTTTTACTAGTCTACTAGTCCAGTATCCTTTTTGGAGATGGAATGCAAAAAACTTTATAAAGTATTCCCAATGTGACTTTATTTACATACAGTTCAGGTCCTAGTAATATATGCTAAAGCTGGGATATATATATGTATCATCCTAATGAGCATCATTTTGCATTTAAAACCTCATGGTTGTTGTGGGTTTTTCGGGCTCTTTGGCTGTGTTCTGAAGGTTGTTCAGCAGTAGCTGAACATGCCCTAAAACAAGCTGGACATGAAATTCTATTTCAAAATACTGAAATACTGGACAACACCAGCAATCGTTACATTAGACTGCACAGGGAAGCCATTGAAATCCACAAACTTTATTTATTTTTATTTATTTATTGTATTTATACCCCGCCTATCTAGTCATTTTGACCACTCTAGGTGGCTAAACATCAGCAGAACTTCAACAAAAAGGAAAAAGTTTGAAACTCAACAAAACTTGGCTCCCACCACTGAAAAATACAGCGTACAAAAGGTCAACGAACTCTACCCAGCCACAAGGGCCAGTGATCACTACACACAAAAGACCAGCTAACAACACCCATCAATCACAGTGACAGATAATCTCTCTTCCTTATCACAACACTACACCCACAACAAAAACACACTGATCACCATAATCACCCATTCTCCTGAAAAGGACAAAAAGCTGAGCTCACAGCCATAAATACTCAATTCCCAAACAAACTCCACCAGAGCATAGAGTGCTGTCCACTGAAGATGCCGGCCACAAAGACTGGCGAAACGTTAGGAAGAACAACTTTCAGAACACAGCCAAAGAGCCTGAAAAACCCACAACAACCATTAGATCCCAGCCGTGAAAGCCTTTGCGAATGTATTGAACCTCATTTGCCATTTTGGTGCCTCTGGTACAGTTGAGAAATATCTTAGAATATTTTGCAGTTTGCTTAGATTTCCTCCACCTTGAATGAATTTATATCACTTGCAAACTTAAAACACAAGCCTGCTTTTTCACTAATGCTTTCTACTAAAGTCAGTTTGGCCTGATATATCTCCATTTTGTGAGTGTTTACTCTTGTGTATGCCCCAGGTCTCTGAGCTGGAGCGGATTCAAGTATGCAGTAATCACCTGGGTTAGTTTTTGTTTTTGCTTTGTGTTTTTTGGAAGGATGTCAAGGTAGTTTATGGTGTTTTGTAATTTTTGCACTTCTTTTCAAACATATAGGTAGAAGGCAGGTACCACTTTAATACTCTGATAGAGACCCCCACATCCACTGCTTCTGCATAAGAGTTCTAGAGAGGTATTGAACTCTGAATTTAGGATGCTTCCAAATTTTGTTACTTATTTCTTTATTATTATATTTCACTTATATCTCACCTTTCTTCCAGTTCAAGGACCCAACTCAGCTTAAGAGTTGAGTGGGTTGGAGGCACAGATACGTGCATTGTACTAAAAATAAATAAATGTATGTATTTATTCATCTGGAGTATATTTGTTTATTTATTGCCCTATCCTTCTTCCATGGAGCTGAATCAAATTACAAAGTGATTAAAAACAGATAAGATTAAAATCACAATATTATAATCCAATTACACGCATTATCACACTAAAAGAGCCACTGAATTAAAACAATGTAAAACAATTTAAAAGGAGATATAATATGAAAAAAAAGTGAAAAATACAGTTAAAAGCCTGTTCTTCTGCAGCTGCCTGGCTGCAAAAGGCCCAGATAGACTAGATAGGGTTGTGTGTAGTACCATATTTTTCCATTTATTAGACAACCCAATGTATAAGAAATAAAATAAGCCCTAGTTAAGTGAAACCCCGCCCTCCACCATTGTGCAGCAACCAGAAGATGACATGACTGTATTTGAATAAATGTAGATTGTTATACATGAAAAAAATAAAACATCCTCTGAAAATAAGCCCTAATGCGTTTTTTTGGAACAAAAATTAATATAAGACCCTGTCTTATTTTCAGGGAAACAGGGTAGAAAATTTGATCCCTGTTTTTCCCTTCCTTTTGCTAAGCCATGGAGCTTAGCAAAAGGAGGGGGAAAGCAGGGATCAAAGGGCTCTCTTTGACCGCCGCTTTTCCTTGCCTTTTGCAAAGCCACGGGGCTTATCAAAAAGGAAGGGAAGGCTACTTTCGGGTAAAGGCTTCTGGATCGCAGCCCTTTGATCCTGAAGCCCTTTCATGCCTGCTTCAGGATGAAAGGGCTGTGATTGTGCAGCCCTTTCATGGCTGCATTACCTGAAGGGAGACTTCCCTTCCTTTTTACTAAGCCCCGTGGCTTCACAAAAGGCAGAGAAAGCATCTGCCGTACGTGTATAAAACAACCCTCAATTTTTTGTCTAATTATTTAAGGAAAAAGTGTCATTTTGTACATGGAAAAATACGGTAACTGAGATATTTTTCTGCTGGCAGAAGGACAACACATAGGGGGCCAAACTAACCTTTCTTGGAAGGGAATTCCATAGTTTAGGAGCAGCCACTGGAAAGGTCCTCTCCTATGTTCTAACCAAAGGAGCCTGTAGAGTGATGGGAAGGAGACAAAAGCCTGCCATGAAGGTAATTAAATCTAGCTGCCCATCTATGTTTTCATTCATACTGAACTGTATTTATAACTGCAAATGGAGAGAAGGGGCATTTTCTTTCCAAGGCAGTCTCTGCTTCTTTCCCAGTCATTGTGGGCCATTTACTTGTAATTTCTGCAACACAGAAAATGCTTGTTAGGGCCATTAATGTAATCTCTAGCAGTTTTTGATCTGTCATTCAACCAGATTAACAAATTTCAATTTTGCAGTCATTATACAATGGAGTTGAAAGAGTTTGCAAGAAATACTTAATCTTAACCCCACTGTATAACAGTTATAGTGGACATGTGATATTGCTTCCACTATGACAGGAGGTATGTCCTGAGCTACATGACTGTCATTTTGTATTATTGGTACAAATCAATGGGTGTGGGGTGGGGGTAATAACAGAGGTGTCCAATTCCACAGATGTATTGAATTCCAGGATCTTTGGAACAAACAGCCATTGAATCTGAACTCAATGGATCATTTGGAGAATTGCGGAAAGCTTTCTTCCAGTTAGAAGAAGAGGATGCATCCTTGATTTCCACGGTATGATTTGAAATGGAAATGCTGAGGGTGCTGTCACGCTACCACTTATGTCAAATTTTAATTCACATGTGAATGTGAAATGCCTACAGATAAAAACTAATAGTTATTTCAAATCAATACATGAATTCTATCATCTCTTACTTATGTAGTTCTTGGCCATATAATAATAATATAATTTATTGTCATTGTAAGTATATACACAGTATACCATACAACGAAATTCACAGACACCCAGAGACCAGACACATGCACACACATAACATTCCCCAAACACTCCCCACCCACTAGAAGTCCCCCACTAATGAATTTGCCTATTCAGAACATCGCAATGCAATCGCATTAGCGATCTAAAAAAATAGATCGCTATGCGGATTCGTCGTTAAACGGTGCGCTCGTTAAGCGAGGCACCACTGTAGGTTGATGGCTGTTTGCAAAATAAGTATTACCAGTAATACTTAATCCCTCGATGAATTTACTGTTTAGCCAAAAAAGTCCCCAGAGGCCTTACAAAGATAAGTGATATGGAAGTCTTTTAAAATCCCAATTACAGTCGCTACAAGTTGGTTTCAACATCAGAGCACATAACACATCTCTAATACCTTGATGCAATTGCTACTGCAAGGTAAGAACTGAGAAAAGGCCAAAGGCAGAATCATGGAATAGCGTTGCTTAGCATCTTCCTTGTGCTCTACAGCTATGCATTACAGTAAATATATTAGGAAAGTTTGGAAAATATACTTTTAAAACTGATTTCTTTTAGAATATTCTAACCAGCATGAACAGCAGTTTTGCTGACTGGAGGATCTTAGGAGTTAGTACCTCCAAGAGTAACTATTTCAGACTCCACTTATTAGAGCACATGGACATCCTGAGAACTGCTTCTTTTACTCACTATATCTCAAGGCCAGTTCCTGTGTTTTATTTTGATTTGGAAGCTATTAATAAATGATTCTATTTCTTCTGTTAATATGTACCCAGACTATGCATGGTGGCAGCTGTTGTTTATCGTATTTTGGGATAACAAATGATTTATCACTATGCTATGAGACAGAGCCAGTTTTTTGGGAGCTGGCAGACAGGTTGTCAGGACAACAGTAGTATTCCTTGAATTCTGAGGAACATATTATTGGTTTTGAATGTATGTCTTATCCAGGAGTGGGCTGTCGGATAAGATAATAAAAATAATCATGTTCAGTCAAGTCAATTATGTCTTATGGTGACTCTTTTCAGGGTTTACCAAGCAGAGAATTCTCAGAAGGGACTTACCATTCTCTTCTTTTGGGGTTGCCCTGGGACTGTGCGGCTTACCCAAGGCCATACAGGTTGGCTCTACTTTCAGGAGGCACAGTGGGGAATCCCCACACCTAAACTGCTGAAGTATTCAATAGCTGGATGAGATTATAGAAAGCTGAAAAGTTCCAGCAAAATTATAAAGCAAGCCAATCAACTAGGAGACAACTTAAGCGCAAATAGACAGGGAGGCTGTCCTGCATTGGTTTGGGTCAGTTTAAAGTTTCCTGTAGCAGTCGGATTGTCGTTATTGTTCATACGGAACCGTTAATTATTCTGGGCAGTTTTCAGGATAAGAGTCCACATTGTACCACAGACTCCTACAATTCTCACAGGTTTCCTATCCTCCTAGTGGTGTCATGAACCCCAACATGTTCTCTGCTTCCTTAATTTTTAATTTTTTTTGCAAAAGACATAGTGTTGAATTGATATAACTCCTTATCTGATAAGCATAATTTTAAAATTGTTTGGAGGAGAGACAAGAGGCATTAACTTCAGGCAGATATTCTGATATACCTCTCATTGGGATGTAATATGGCAGATAGCAGGAATATGACCAGAGCACAGAGTGCTGTTCTCTGAAGATGCCGGCCACAGAGACTGGCGAAATGTTAGGAAGAACAACTTTCAGAACATGGTCAGAGAGCCTGAAAAGCCCACAACAACCATTAAATCCTGGCTGTGAAAGCCTTCACGAATACAGCAGGAATATCCTCTGAGGTGAGTATCCATTGTCTCTCTTCTGAACCATTTTTGAAATTATTCTTGTCAAATTTAGCATTATGTCAGATAAGCACTGTAGTTTCACAAGTGGTTATATCAATGCAGTGCTATGTCACTTGCATTGTTTTTAAAGCTCACCATCAATGCTACCCTAGGAGGCGCCCATCACTTCCCCATTGGGCTAATATAGGAGATCATACATGCCAGAAACTGAAAAAAATAAACATGACTGAAATCAGAAACCCTGCAAACACTAGCCCATGCTGCATGAACAAATAGCAACAAATGTCCATGAAAAAAGTCAGGGTTTACTTGTAGTTAGCTGTACATTGAGTAATCAAGGGAAAATACAAGAAATGTAAGTTCACTGAGAAGCCAGGTCTTGAGAAAAAGTGGATTTGGGGGGGGAAAGGGGCTAAGTACGATATCACTTCAGAGTGAGTGTAATGTGGTAGGTAATGGATGTCGCAATTTCAGATCCCATTTTAGCTGTGAAACTCAGAAGCTGGTCCTGGAAAGTAACAATATGTGTTGTTGCAAATACATAGTGTGAATGAGGGATGCGTTGCATGAATAAAAGACACATTTCCAGTAGCATTCCTCTTTTTATAAGCTGAATGAATTTTTATTTACACATGCTATTAGTTAAGTTGGTGTCTGGATAACTTAGTGGGTTGGAACACCCACCTTCAATTCCCCACTGTGCCTTCACTAAAAGAGCCAGTCGCTGTAAGTTGGAAATAATGCAGAACTATTTATTGTTTTTAATGGAGTGAGGTTTTCATAAAGGGTTTACAGCCCTTTAAAGAAAAGAAAAAATACTTGTCTGAGTCCTTCGTAATCTGATTTATCACACCAATGTCTGTAGGCTGGGGCTCTTCTCCGCTGGCATGAGAATAACAAGTACTGTAGCAAAACCGGGGAGCCCACAGTGAAGAACCTGGCTGGAAGCAAATGGGTTTGTCGCAGTAGTGGAATCATCTACTATCCACAGGTGGGCATCTGAATGGAAAGGAGCGTTTTCTGTCTCCGTGTTTCCAGACCTGCCTATAGTTCTCATCTGCCTCAGCCAGCACCGGAATTCCATGGGATAGTGGGAGTTGTAATCTAGAGGAGCTGGAGAGGCAAGTTGTTCTGGAGCCACAGAAACAGCTATATAGGATGGGTGAAGTTAGAAAGTAGCTGAAGGGGGGAGTGATGATTTCTCATTAAGAAAAAGGTACAGGAAGTGTCTACTAGTGACCGGCTGACATTAAGGGAAATGGCTATTTGAAGCAGTTTTAAAGAGATGAAGATGCCTTTGTGTATCTCATTTTTAGTCACATCTTATCTGACCTTCAGCCTTTTTCCCCTTTGGATGGCAAAAGCACTAAGAGTGACTCAGAGAGCAGGATGGTACCCATGAGAATCTTGGTTTCTATTTCCTGTTATTTACCTGCAAGAACGACGAATAAGATCTTGCAACTGAGAGCCATGTTAGAGTTTTTCCACACATTCTGCCCTTCAGACGTTCTGGTTAGAGCTGCTGTTTTGTATTTGATACATATCTGCAATTTGTTGTGCTTTTTGGCATTTTCAGATGTCCCCAGTGGTTATTACTTTAGTCTCTGATGGGAATCAATGCCTTCTTGTGCGGCAAGCATCATTTCCGAAAGGGATGTACAGTGCTCTCTCTGGCTTTTGCGATGTGGGTAAGGAAAATTCATGGTATGCACAACATTTTAACGATAGACTATACAGTGTAGCATAGCAGGGTAGACAATTGAGTGCAGAGATAAGACATAACGAGTTAAGTCCTGATTCTCTTAATCACTATATTGCATGTAATTGCCATATTGCACTTAATTGTGGTTAAATATATCATCATCATCATCATCATCATTAGCAAAAGCTTTCCAAATGCTTTAAATACTTAAATAACCGAGTCTACTTTGGAACTACCGTGTTTCCCCTAAAATAAGACTGGGTTTTATATTAAATTTTGCTTAAAAAAACGCATTAGGGCTTATTTTCAGGTAATGTTTTATTTTACAGTCATGTCATCTTCTGGTTGCTGCACAATACGACACGATGGTGGAGAGTGGGGTTTAACTTTAGGGCTTATTTTGGGGGCAGGGCTTATATTACGAGCATCCTGAAAACTCATACTAGGGCTTATATTCAGGTTAGGTCTTATTTTTGGGGAAACAGGGTACCTTGATGGACTAGTTTTTGACTACAGCTTCCAGAATACCGTAAGTTGGCCAGTGCTGAGAGGCAGACCTAGGATTTTTAGATAAAAATGTGTTTTACCACTGATTTGTGAGATCCCTCACCTCCATATAGTCATAATGTAAAAGGGGTCCCCCTCCCGGGCCTGCTTGATAATATGTGAATCAACTGACCTTGCAACACTAAGGTGGTGGCCAGAATCTTGTTACTTGTGTACACCAGCATGTTGCCACTGAGATTGATGTCATCTGACTTGCACTGGTATATATTACTAATAGGATTCTGGCAAATATTTTTCTTACAGTGCCCCATAAGTGACAGATGGATATGTTGGGTTTCAGGAAAGAGCCTGTAGTACTCTTATATTTACTGGAAGAATGAAATGAAAAATAAAAAGGTATAGGAGATGATCAGCAAGTCACTCTGCAGTTACAATTCCAGTGTATTCATTCATTGTTTGTGTTGGTACAGGCAAGACTTTATTATTGCATAAAAAGGGGAAGCCACTTTATATCCCCCCAAAGCAAGTACCGTATTTTTCGCTCCATAAGACGCACCTTTCCATAAGACGCACCAATTTTTTTAAAAAGGGGAAACCACTTTATATCCCCCCAAAGCAAGTAAATCCAAACCATATCCTCTCTGAAAATATGGGCACATTGATACACGGTTCCTGCAACAACCTCCACCCCAAGCAAACACAAGAGGAGAGATCCATTTTTGGTCCCCTAAAGAAAGAAAGAAAGCATCGCTTCCTTGGATCTGAACTCATTAAGCCCATTCCCTGAGTGTGGGTCCATTGACGCAATCCAGTAAACATTGTGTAACTGTGCATCGGACTGTGCTGCACATCCATGGTGACTTCTCAGTGAAACCCCACACACACACACACAATGGTAGTGATGCACTATGCAGGGAGCAAAGTGGCTAGCTGGGCATTTGATTAATCTGTCAGTGAAGTACTTCTAACAGTTTTATCTGTTATAACAAAAGATAATTACCAGCAGCCTTAATCTTCATGTTAATTACAAAAACAAGTCACATTAACTGCTGTCATCCCTGCTGATTTGGACTGGAATTAACTTTTAAAAAGTTGTATCACTTTTAGCAATGTTAGATAATGTCCCTATGAACTGTGAAGGACTAACTCTTCTTTTAGTTGGCTTATATCCTGAAACACCAGGGCCAACCTCAATTTCATTTTAAAAGAAAGAAGGAAATAAAGCAAAGCAACTGCTGCTATTTTTTAAAAGCAAAATATAGAGCTTAAAGCATTCACTGGGTGATTTACAGTTTAATTCTGCAGGCTACGCATTGTGATAGAGCTTAAAGCACTCACTGGGTGATTTACAGTTTAATTCTGCAGGCTACGCATTGCCCTCCCCTCCAGGGAGCTGGGTACTCAGTACCTTGGAAGGATGGCAAGATGAGTCAATTCTGAGCCAGGTACCTGAGCCTAGGATTGAACTTGGGTCATGAGGATAATCTTGGCTGCAGTACTGCAGTTTAACCATTGTGCAACGAGGCCAGTTTTTATATTGGCAGTTGAGCTAAGTGGGTGGTACCACCAATTCTTCAGCTCATTGCTTCATGGAACATCTGACCATGCTGGAAAAGATGGCCAAATGAGAATATATAACTACTTTATTGCCTGAAACTCGGATCCCACTTCAACAGTGGTTCATTCTATTAAAGCAAGGGTCCCCAACCTTTTCAGAACTGCAGATCAGTGAGGGGGGTCTTGGGGGGGGCAACCCCCGTACTTGCAGGTGGGGGTGGCACGTTCGCAGATGGATGAGGTGCGTGCATGCGTGGGTGAGTGCAGCTTGCTTGAAGATGGGCGTGGGTGCACTTGCACGCATTCGCGGGTGAGCATGGTGCATTCACAGGTGAGCAGGGCACGCATGCATGTGTGCAAGCGCTCCACGGCCACCATACAGGCAGGAGGAGCGGGAGATCTGTCTGTGCAGCCTGGTCCTGTGAAGCCCATGGTCAGGCGCCAGGCTGCGAATGGGGGGGGGGTTGGGGACCCCTGCATTAAAGGGATAGCATCTTAATTTTAAAATGCAATGAGAGAAGTTTTTCTATCTGCCTCACTCCCCCCCCAAAGGCCTGATATTCTCCCTACTCTGTGAGTGGGCTGTCCTTAACAATGCATTCTGCTCCCAGGTGAGAGTCTGGAAGAGACAGTCCGAAGAGAAGTTGCTGAAGAGGTGGGACTGGAAGTGACATCTCTATGGTATTCTGCTTCGCAGCACTGGCCATTCCCACACAGTACACTGATGATAGCTTGTCATGCTCTGGTGAATCCACAACAGAGTGAGGTAAGCAGCTGGACAGAGTCAGGAATCACTGTTGTATTTGGTATCTTTACCTGAATTCAGAGGTACCAGATCAAGCTTTATTGACCTGGTTTAACAAAATGAGGGAGATGGAGAATCTTGGCCCTCCCAATGCTGTTGGACACCAATTCCAGTGCAAGTCAGCAAGGATGATGGGAACTTTAGTCCAGTAATAACCTGGGGAGTGGGCTCATGTTCCCTGTGCCTGATCTAAGTGTATGATTTTTGACAACTGACCTTGTGCACCTTAGTTCCCCTGTGTTTATAACTACCATAAACAGTTCTAGGTCATGTTAAAGTTGTGTCTCCATGTTAAGGCACTTTTTTGTGCATGACAGGTATGGATTATTTTAATTATGTGTAACTAATGCATACACATTATGTGGCACAGTACTTAAACTCTGGCACAGTGGTTGAACCTCTCTCTGCTGACAATGTGAGTTCAGTCCTGACAGGTTCAGGTAGCCAGTTCAAGGTGGATTTAGTCTTCCAACCTTCCAAGGATGGTAAAACTCAGCTTGCTGTGAGGCAGAGTGTTCCTCGCGTAATTATATTGTAAATCACCCAGAGAGTCCTCTAGTGTTATGGGGTGGTATATAAGTCAAAACAGCAACAATATAATATTCGGCACTTGTATTGCACTTTTTGCTTGATCAAAGCACTCCATATAGAATGCCTTAGTAATCACTGCAACTATTTTGTAAAATAATGTAATAAGATTATCCTACATATTTGCATATGGGTAAAGGGAGAACAGTATGCACTTCTCCTTTCAACAATGCTGGAGTTAAGGGCGCTGGACTGCCGTGTAGGTCAGAGTTCCTGTATAACTCTTATCCCCCCACAAAATGTAATAACAAAGCATAAACAGTTGATTCACACACACGCGCGCACACACGTGCACACACATGCAGAGAGAAAGAGAGAACAGTTGTCTCTGTCAGGGTTCTCTTCCGTAGCATTGACAGTCCTTTCCATATAGCACTACGTGTAATGAGCTTTAAAGGTCCTTATGACCCCCTGAGAAGTTGTGTTTTGGGGCAGGGAGACCACTTTTGACGCCTTCAGTGTTGGACTCATGGGGTTCTGGGTGGCCAGGAGCACGGAGAGAAAGAGAGAACAGTTCTCTCTGTCAGGGTTCTCTTCCATAGTATTGACAGTCCTTTCCGTATAGCACTACATGTAATGAGCCTTAAAGGTCCTTATAACCCCCTGAGAAGTTGTGTTTTGGGGCAGGGAGACCACTTTTGACGCCTTCAATGTTGGACTCATGGGGTTCTGGGTGGCCAGGAGCACTGCATGGATGGATGGATTAGATTACTGGATTATTTATTAATTTATTGGAAATAATCCAAACCATGCTGTTCATACCCATCCAATTCAAGAGAGAAGTGTATTACCTAGCAAGGTAGTGGGTTTGTAGCAGGGTAACATTTGAGCTTTGAACATTTTCTCTCACTGGTCACTCATAGCCACAATGCCGCACTGACCCGTTATGGCCAGATTTTAGGAAAGTTATTTTCTGGATTATGGCACCCAGAATCCCCCTAGTCAGCATGACTGTCGACGGATGGATTTGGAGAGTTCTAATCCAGAAAAGTAATTTTTCCAAGCACTGCTTAATATACTGTATGTTATCGTTCTTATTTATTGTTTTGATTGGAGTAATTGTCAATTGCAGGTTAGCATCAACACACAAGAGCTTGAAGCTGCCAGGTGGTTCAGTCGTGAGGAGGTGGTGGAGGCCCTGGGAAGGAAGCTGAAGCCTTCCAAAGAAAAGGATGGCAGCCTCTCCTTTTGGGTGCCACCCCAGCAAGCCATAGCCCACCGCTTGATCCAGGAGTGGATTAAGAAGCAGGGCTTTGTGGCCTCTTAAATGGCAACAGCAAATCAGCCATCCCATAACAGGTAACAATCAGCTGGGTGCTCATTTTAATTTTTATTAATTTTATTAATTCAAATTAGTACCCTGATTTGAATAAGCATAGCTGTCCATGCTTATTTTTCTTCTGGCCATTTATTGGTAAAAGAAGTCATTCTTACACAGTTTAAGACTTTTGCCTAAGCCAGTGGTTCCCAACCTCGGGTAACCCAGATACTCTTGGACTACAATTCCCAGGAAGCCTTCACCACCAGTCTAGCAGAAAAGTTTCTGAAACGGACTCGTTTCCTATGAAAATGTTTTGACAATCCAATCTTACAAACATCCATTCAGAAGTTGCATTATATGCAGAGAGCTTTACTGCCATGGATGGAGGTGTAGGGTTGCAGTTTAAGTATATCCAATTCACATCCTCATTCCCTCCATACAGTTATCTCCAGAAATTTGTTAAATACGTTTACAGAAAAATGAAAAGCATTCTTGTCGAAAAATATATATATATGTAACTAGTAAATGAACAAATCTAAACTGAACTGAATTAGATTAGGGGGCTCACTAAACTGATTATGCTTTCAAACTAAACTGATTATGCTTTTCTAGTGACTTTTCCATCTCTAAATTTAACAACTGTTTGATGTGTGTTAAAAGGGTTTTTCCATACGCTAAATACATCATGTTTCTTACCCAAGATTTTGTATTCAGTGAACATTTCCCAGAGGTCTGAACAAAGTTTTCCTGTGATGGAAGCAACTGCGTAGAGATGCCTGGAGTGTGTGGAGGCAGCCTTCGACAGAACTCATTCCCCCCCCCCCATTCCCCTTTGTGAGTGGCAGGCGATCCTCACAACTCCAACAGTGCAGCAGGACCCTTTTCTAAGAGTTTGAAGAAGGGGTGAGGGAATGGCAGGGAGGTGAGGGGACGATGTCGTTCTTGCCAGTTTGAGGGCTCTCAGTCGCATAATTCAGCCTGGGATATGTGTGTATCCTGCTGAATGATGGAACTGGGAGTCCTTGAGTTCTGAAAATCCCATTCCTAGTGACCGTGGTGGTTGGGGATTCTGAAACTAGTAGGGTGAGACAATTCACTTTTTCCTAATGTTAATTTCGCATAGAATTACTAGAAGTGCAATAATTTTAGGAAGGGCAAGGCAGTTCTAATGCCCTGAGAACATTGAGCCCAAACATTTTAAAGTGCTGCGTTAGATACATTCCCACGTTTTAGTAGAAAGAATCTTATAGTCATACAAATGCCTAAAGATTAGGACTTTGCTCTTCTGTCTAAATGGCATAGGTTTAAATAAACTGCTAGGCTTGTCCTCATCCTGCCTGATTCCTCCCGTTCCAACTCTGCATTTTTTATGTAGCTGAGAATAGCGAAGAAAAGGAGTACATCCAGTTCTGCTAGACATACTTGAGGAGAAAAAGCTCTCTTTGCGACAACCAGAGCGTAGACATAACTAGCTGTAAATGATTGGCAACTTGTACTTAATTACCTCTGTCCTACAATGAAGGTATAATGAAGTTACCTTATAACAAGGGATCGTCGTCGTTTAGTCGTTTAGTCGTGTCCGACTCTTCGTGACCCCATGGACCAGAGCACGCCAGGCCCTCCTATCTTCCACTGCCTCCCAAATTCATTCTGGTACAGTGGGGTCTTGACTTAAGAATGGCTCGAGTTAAGAACATTTTGACTTAAGAACCGCTCTCATAGGAAAATATTGACTTGACTTAAGTACTTAGATTTGAGTTAAGAACTGAAAAAAACCCATGTGGGAGGCAGGGAAAGTGCAAAATGTGAACTTTCAGTTAACTGTTGGCCAGTGAAAAGGGTGCCTGTCTGCTTCCTCACTCCTCCCAGCGTTTAGAGAGTGGATTGGGAGACAGTCTTCGGACTGCCTGGTACTGTACTGCCTGGACTGTCTTTTCCCTGCCTTCCCTGTACCTTTCTTGACCTAAGAAAAAAAGAAACAAAATATCCCCCTCTAGTGGTTGATGGAGGAATAGCAGCTTCCCATTAGTTTCTATGGACGGAAAAGAGTAGATACGGATCAAATGGTTTTCAATGCATTCCTATGGGAAATGCAGATTTGACCTGAGAACTTTTTGACTTGAGAACCGCCTTCCAATACGGATTAAGTTCTCAAGTCAAGACCCCACTGTAGCTTGAAGCACTGAGCTAATATATATATTATTGGGAGGGGCCTGCCTTCATAATGAAAAAGAATCTGATGGGACCACTGTTTCCATGTTGTTGAAGCACTGAGCTCCCAATAACCCTTGATCTGGCCCCTCCCAATAACCCTTGATCTGGAACCCTGTGCCTCAGTACTAGCAATACCTTATAGAAGTGATATATTTGAGGGCTTTGAAAAGGAGAGCAGAGATGGGAAGAAGGCATGGAGCCTCACACCAAATCTTAAAGCTGCTTCATACAATCCATGGAAAATGGGCAGGGCATGGATATAACAAGGGATAACTTCTATTATTTTAAAAATAATGGGAATGTGGCCTTATTAATATGGTGGTATATAAAAAACGGTCAATTTGTTTTTTAATACAACACATAATTACTATTAAGAAATAGGAAAAATATTTAGAATTGTTTTAGCATTTGCCTAAGGTTTGCATACCTTCCTGCAGCTAATTGCATCAAATTGACGAGGTGCTAGGGCATGTAATGTGCCTGATTGCTCAACCAAGATGCACTCTGATACCTTGTCGGTAACTCATCCTATCAGTGTCACATTACACAAACAGCAGTAGGATTCTTACTGATTAGAAAGAGGTAGATAGCTAGGCATGGAATTTGCAGATTTTTTTTTTTACTACAAATCTTATAATTCTCCATTTTGGGAATTCCACCTGAAAGACCCACACATTTAGGTATCTAAATGTAGCTTACATGGAGAAAAATCATAGCTCATCCTAGCATCCCTCCAAGCTGCCCCACTGCTAGCTGAGAACTTCTTCTCTGTACAGGAAACTAGGGTGGAGCTAGGATTATTATTAATAGCATTAGTTAGAAGTCTGTTTCAGTTTAGAAAGAGGTTTGTGTCAGACTGTTCATTTTATGGATTACCTTAGAATTCAACTTGATAATTATGGACTTTATTGTGCATTGATCTTGTTAAAAAGGCTCAGGACATACAAGCTGGCAGTGGTTCAGCTTCCTTTCTGTATAGGAAGCTACATTATGCTGGGCACAAAGACTTCACAGGTAAGCCTTTTCTTCAGGTGAGCCACATTTAGGTGAGAGTAGGGGTGGGTCTGTCATGTGGATTTTCTAGATAGGAGAATTATGGGATTTGTAGTAGAAAAATGTGAAAATTCCTCCCCAGGTAATAGCACATACATAATTGTAATACATTTTCAGTCTTTCAGTTATAGTGGTGATGGATTACTTTTGAAAAGGAATCATGCAACCTCTGGTGGAGATGATAGTTGTAGTATTCTTGGATGTTTATATTACTCATTTACTATCATGGAGACTGTAAGCTCCTCTGCAGTTTCAAGGTCAACATTTTATTGCAGTTTTTCTCATGTGATACACATACTGCTAGTGCGTGCAGGGTTTCCTTTAAATATCTATGTATTTATTAATCTTGTGTTTTATAGTTATCATGGCGATCAAAAATGTACCAAAATGTATCATTGCATTTTCCCATTACTAATGGAATTATTTTTATTTTATATGTTGACTTCCAACAATTTTACTGCAATTTGTTTTGTATCTTTGAAGCTCACTGTGAATGTAAAATAAAACAACAGAATGACTGTAAACATAACTGTTATTCTTGATAAAAACAAGTTGTTTTTCCCCTGTCATGGTGGGGACTAGGTTGATTTGATTTGGGGGATATAGGATACAAAACATTGAAAATGACAGCTTTAGTGCAATTGATTTGCACCCCGAAAAGACCGGAGAAATCCCAGTTAGCAATATAATAAAGAGCCTGGCACTGTGCGATCAAAACAAGATTTTAAAAAAACAGACCAAGTATTATTAATGCACAGTAAAATCTTATGCTTATATTTACTATTTTAATTCTAAGAGAATGGAATTGGGTAAAATGGAGCAGCCTGACACACATCTTTCTCTAAACTGAAATGGATTCCTCATTAATGTCATTAATGAAAATTCTAGAATATATTCTGCAGTGAATAGTAGCAGAATTAATTCAGAGGCTGTTAAAATGGAAAGGTGTTAATGGCATGTACAGTATGTTGCAGATCCAGGAAAGAGGTTGGTGAAAGGGGCTTCTAATAGAAAGCCCTCATCGAATTCCATTGAGTTTTGTCTCACATCCACTCAGAGTAGGAAATGACTTTGAAAACCCTTAAAATCAGTCTATTCAGGACCTGCTTTTAAATGTTTGGCCCATCATCTAATACAGGGGTCTCAAACTCAATTTACCTGGGGGCCGCTGGAGGCAGAGTCTGGGTGAGGCTGGGCTGCATCAGATTTTCCACCAAGTGGAGCAAGAGCCTGAGGAAGCCGCCCAGGAGTTTCCTTAGCCCAACTGGGGCTCCGAGGAGGAGGAGGGGTGCCAGCCACAACCCCCTCCAGCTCCTTCTTCACTACCACCAGCAGCAGCAGCAGGATGAAGAAGTGGAGAAGGGAGGGAGCGCCAGGCACCGCCTAGCCGGGGGGGGGGGGAATTTTTTTTAAAAAGCCCTCACAGAATCGCCTTGCCAAAAGAGAAAAGCCCCCATCAGTACCTGCGAAATTAAACAGAACAGGGCAGGCCGCTTCCCTGGAAGAGGTGGTGGCAGCGGCAGCTGCTGTTGGCAGCTTGGAGGCGCTCTTTGAGGATGGGCTGGGAGCGAGTTCCCTCTCAGGCATGGCTCAGAGGTGGCTTGGGCACTCAGGGAAAAGGGCCAGCAGTTCTCCCCCAAGACAGCGCCTCTTGCCCCCTCCATCCGGAACTGCAGCCTGCCAGTTGGCAGACAGGGGGGCTGGCTGGCAGGCTGCAGTTCTGGATGGAGGATGGAAGAGGTACTGTCTTGGGAGAGAGCCGGCGAGCAAGGTGAGGCTTTTTTAAAATCTCTTGACAGCAGAGGACACATGGGTGCTTCGGGGAGCAGGCAAGGCGGGGGCCACAAACTATCGTCCGGCGGGCCGCAAATGACCCCCGGGCCGCATGTTTGACACCGCTGATCTAATAAAGTGTTTAACAAACACTGTGGTTTGTTAAAGTGGTTACCTCTCTCTTGCAAGGAAATGATGGCCTTTCCAGCATGGTGTTGTTTACAGCACAGGCAAATATCATCTTTTTAAAGTTAGTACCAGGGAATTATGTTTTGTTCTTCTGATCTGTCTTTCACTATAGAGTTTTATATTGATTGAGTCCATTATTGCAGTTGTACTGTTATTAAGGCTGCAATCTTATGGATGATGGTGGGAAGATGTATGTTATGTATGCCACTTGTGGAGCTGGTGGACGTAATTCCTTTCCCATCGATTCCAGTGGGAGTAAAATCATAGAAACAAACATGCACACATATTGTTTCTTCCTCTCTTCTGCCCTGCTAGCCCCAGACTGACAAAGCTTTGGATAAGACAGCTGTTCTGCCTTGGGATCTTGCCCTTCTAGCTGGGCGGATTGGGTGGCTCAGTTGCTTTAATAATGGCAGACTTAACGTGCAGTACAGCTGCTGCCATTATGAGATTTTAGTTGTTCTGTCTCATTTTTAAAGGCACAGAAGTGAACAAATGGTAGGTATTTTTATTTCAAAGCTTGACCTGATGTAGTTATGACTTCTGTCTGTGCATTTAAATGTATTTTCTTGAAATGTGAAAACCTCCTTTCATCTGTTTTCTTAACAATCTTTTTAAAGCTCCTCCACCCAGATTTCTTCCTCCTTTCATATGGAACTATTCTCCATTTATTAATCCAAAGGGGGAGTGCTCAAGTGTTTCTTTAAGGAAAAGCTGTAGAAATACGGTCAGAAAGTAAAGTTGCATGTGCTCAGGCTATCTCCTTGGTTGATCTACAAGCTCTTTATATAGCTCAGCCTGTGCTGGAAGCTGTGGCCAGTTTAAAAACATATAATTCAATTATGTTTAGTCTATCATTTTGCCTTGTTAAAATATAGCTACGAATTCTCAAAGGTCCGTTGTTTTACTGTAAGGTACAGTGCTGCCTCCAAGATTGATGCATAGAGTATTATCTTGGACAGAATAACTTTGTGGACCAAACCCAACCAGAAAGCCAATTAAGTTCGTACAGATAATGTAGCGTGTTTATAAGATGCTCTCTGCACCCTACCGAGATTAGGTTAATGACAGGAATTAAGAACTGAATTTCACTCTTCTCTTCCAGTAATAACTGGGGTAAAACAGGGTCAGCAGGACTTTCAGGAATCAAAGTTGTGGCAATAATGACATTAAATAAGAATGCTAGATTAACTGGATACGAGCAGTGCAAAAACAAAGTATCTCGTATGTATATCCAGTGACTGCACAACAAATTCCATGCTGGTTTTTCCAAAAATGCAAATAACTGATAGAGATAGCAATTTTGTGACTTGTGTGATGCCGTTGCCTCATCAACATTTTTTCCTGAATTGTTTCAAACATACTTGCTCAACAGAAGTATGAGCTTGTTAATCATTGGTGGACAGCATAGGCTTTTTACCACTCTGAGGTTTCAGATCAAGCCAACAGATGTTTTAGTGAACTGTTTTAGTATGACAATAATCCATTTGTTTTCTCAACAACTTTATAACTTAAGTGAAGAGGAGTGAAACAGAAGACTTTTTTTGGGGGGGGGTCTTTAACAGAAGCCCACTGACTCTGTTGTTGCCAGATTCAGGAAGATGGGCATGATTATTTCACCTGAAAAGGAATTATTGATTTGGCTTCAACAACTGAAGAGATTTTTAAATCCTCAATTAAACTCACACACACATACACACACAATGATCTGTGACTGCCCGAGAAGGGGACCAGTACCCTTAGACAAAAGCAATCATCCATCTTTCAAGTAAATTTAATCAATTAACTCTTATGATCTACTTCAAGCTGAAAGTTTTTTTAACTAAACATGAATCATTTTAATAGTACAATTGATATATTGATGTTGGCAAGGATATAGGGGATGTGCAAGTATTTGCCTTGAGAGTACTTAATAAGCAGCTGCAGTATTTCTGTTTGTTACACAACTCTTTTTACTCCAGGGAAGTGTTCCATTTCCAACTGCAGGGTGGAGTTGGACCTTTCATAGCGAATGTCAGTGGTCTGTGTTCGTTTTGTTAGGTTTTTATAAAATGCTTTTGCTCAAGGGTTATGATTCCTCTTTAGGCCAAGATGCATCAGGGTCTTTAATGGTATCCAGAATAAAAGAGCCTGACACAGCCTGCCAAAGAATGTATGCCGAAAAGGAAAAAAAATATTCAAAGCAGTAACATTCACAGTAATCTGTAACAGCCCCTCTGTTCTTCCAGGTACAGTACAAAGGAAAGAAATACCAGCCCCAGTATGGATGGCAAAGTAATTCCAGAGAGGGACAGAATATCAAAATCCCTGTCACCATGCCCATTTTCAGAAGGAATATGTGAAACGGCTTGACGCTGACATTTTTTTTGAAAGCTGGTGTATCCCCACGAGGTCCAGCTGATGTATTGAAGTGTGGAATCACATACGAAAGGAGAAACACAATCGTGGCCTGAAGTTATGCACTCCACATTCTGTAGTTGGCAGGATGGGTGGGTGAGATACATGTGAGTCACTACCCAGTTAATGTTCAAAAAAGAAACTACTTTTTTGGCATTTAAAATATCTTATGGTCCTAATTTAAACTACACAGAAGGCTATTTGGAATCCTATTGTTCCTTAAAGAATTGTATTATATCCTGATTTCCACAGAAATGCGTTTCAGATAGAACAAGTGACTATATATAGAGAAGGGAGGAAGCTTTCTCTCATAGGATCCAAGCCTGTATGACTGTAGCACTTTTGTTTGCTATCACTGACTACAATCAAAATAAAATTTTCTGCTGCAAATTTTCATTATTGTTTACACTGTGTTTGTGTGTATAGATGTATCAAAGTTAAAACCACCAGGGATGGGGACTCAAGTTGCGGGACTCGCTGTCAGGTCAGGCTTAAGTTGCACAGGTGACTCGACTCGAACTCGACTTGCAAGTTGGAACTCACCCACCTGCTCCCTTTTTTCTGGGGGAAGAAGTTTGTTTTTAATAGGCACTCAGACTTGGGAGTCAGACCCAAAGACTTGCTAACATCCATGACAACTACCAAGAACAGCAACATTAGGACAACATTCACATTTCCTGTTGTTGTACAATTAGAAAACAGTAGCATCTTAACATTAAGCGCTATCTGACAAACTTGAAGTCACACAGAATTACGTAAAATAAAAAGCGAGTTACAACCCAAGCCGTAATGAAGAAATACGTATTTTTCAGTAACAATTATTCAGAAAACAGCTGCCTCACAGTATAGCCTTATCTTTTACAGATAGTCAGTGATTTGAAATTAGACTTGTTCAGTTCCACAGCTGAGATATAGCATCCTTTAGCAATTAACTAAATCTAATTGTTAATATTGCAGATGGTGACAGTAATGACAGCTTTGAAATGGATATATTATGGAAGCATAGGACCTAAGACAGAACTCAGATGTGATTTAGGAACAGCTGGTCAGGCAACCAGCATCTCTTGGCTAATGTAGCCCAGAACCTGATGCTAGCAGTAATAACTTCTTGATGTGCCAGTTTAATCCAAGGAGAACTGCTGTATAGTTTTCTTTTTGAGAGAAAGCATAGAAAACCTTCCAGTGAGGTAATAGATGGTTTTCACTTCACAGACACATAAAAACAGAAAGCTTTTTGCATGTTGTCTAATTTTCTGATACAATAGAGAAACACACAAGAGAAACACAAAAAGCTTTATGTGTTGAAGAGAACGACAGTAGAAGTTGTTTGCAGCACAGAAAGCAAAAGAAGCACCCTACTCTTAACAGACCATCCACTGAGATGTTACAGAGGATTCCTTATGTCCCCTTCATCAGTTAATACTAAGTTATAATATCAAGGAAAAAACGGAAGAAACCACACATCTAGTTTGTAGGTCTTTTAATTAATATGGAAAGTCTTAGTAATTTTAATGAATATAAAAATATTCCAGCAACTATTTGCAAAAGTCCATTTTCTCAAGACAACCTAATTTTTATACATAAACAACCTATTTTAAGAGGACAGATTCCACAAGGGTAAAAAACATTGATAAAATTGCTCCACATAGTATATTCAAAATTGCCTGCACACATGGCCTCCTGAGAACAGAAAACCTTTCAACTTTAATTAATCCATCCAATCTACCTTTGGGGCTACTGTTCTACCCAATAGGATCTGGAGATTACATAATTCCATCGGGCTAATTGCTAGTGAGGCTTGTTGTCTGCATTTTCAGGCAGATATACTCCCATGCTCTGCAGAATGTTAGATGCAGGTCCTGCTAGTCCAGCTTGAGCAGTATATGACTCTAGTAGGTTAGTCACTAGGTTCATATCGACATCCACTGGTGCCATATCAGAGTCTTCTGCCCCAAAGTCTTCTTCCAAGCCACCACCAGGGGCTTGGGATGATGAAGCTTTTCCAGACCCAACCTGTAGTAAATGTAAACAATAGAAATTCAGGATCCTTTTTTAACTTCATAGCTAAAAATATGATGTACATATAACTACAGCACTGTCTACTTATGTGTGCCTACCAAGACCGTGCGTATCTACAATAATAACAAAGCCTGGTTTACAGCAAGGCTTAAGAAATTTCGACATGCCAAAGAGGTAGCTTATAGGAATGGAGACAGAATCCTGTATAATCAGGCTAGAAATATACCGAATAAGGAAATTCGAGCGGCAAAAAGAACGTACAGTGTCAAGTTGAAGACACAAATGGAAAATCATGACTCTGCTACTCTCTGGAGGAACTTACAGAACATTACGGGTTATAAGAAAACATCTTCTCCGGTTCTGGAAAACCAGAAATTGGCAGATGACCTAAACGAGTTTTACTGCAGATTTGAAACACCATCATCTACACCTGCGGCAAACCATTTGGGTTCAGAAGTATTAAAAACCGCCTCTCCTACTGTTGTTCCTTTATCTCAGGAACCTACTTCCTTGGTGATTTGCGAAAAAGATGTGAGTGATCTTCTTCAGATACAAAAGGTTAGGAAAGCTCCAGGAGCAGATGGGGTGACTCCCTTCTGTTTGAAAGTGTGCGCTGCACAATTAGCGCCTATCCTAACA